GGCACCGCCCCCCCCCCCCCCCCCCCCCATCAAGCATCCTATGCCACTGGGAAAAAATCAAATATTTGCTTACCCTATGCACAAAATGCATCCCGGCCAGGTATTCCATACCACTGGCAACTCCCCGGGCCATTCCTAACCGTTGTAATTGATTCAATATTCCATCATTTTCCTAAAACAATAGAGATCAAAATGTTTGCAAGGTTTATGAGAAGAAAATCAATAGCAATTGCATTCGATATATATTGTATTCGTTTTAATTAACCTTTAAATATTTATATAAAGATCCATTCTCCATAAATTCTGTCACAGTGAGATATGGTGTACCTAAATAGAGCATAAAACAACATCTTGACCAATCTTTACCATTTTAACCGTTCTGATCCATACATTCTCATCATAATCATCACTATCTACAGCACCATTATCGTCGTCATCATCTTTATTCATCATCATCATCACTCATCATCATATCATCATGATGACATCATCAACATTATACTTCATTACTCATCATCATCGTTTATCATCATCATTGTATATTATCATTATATTATCACCATCATTCATCATCATCATTATCATCATTACCATCATCATTCATCAACATCATGATAGAATATTATATCATTATCACTCATGACTCATCATCACTCATCGTCATCATTATCATCATTATCATCATCATCATTATATAGATCATCATCACCATCATCATTATTCATCAGTATCATGATCAAACATTATATCATCACTCATCATCATCCCTCATCATCAACATCATTATTATCATTATCAGCAGCATCATCATCATCATTAAACCATCACCATCATCATTCAGCAGCATCATCAATATTCATCGTCATTAACATTACTATCTTTATCACCGAACATCCTCACAACCTCTCAAGTACTTAAGATGCTGCACCCTAGCTCTACAATGAGGGATTAAAAAAACACAGCTGGTAAAGTATAATCACACAAGTAAATTTTTCCTGAACTTACTTTTAGTCACAACACCTTCCAAAGTGATCACATTCAAATTCTTAAATTGCCCCATCACAGATGCTTCAATGACAAAGTCTGTTCGGTCCTTATTCGATGCCCCTGGCTAGTAAATAATGTGTAACAATTAGTATTAATTAATGTAATTGTCGAGAGATTACAGGCTGGCTTTTCCAATTTGAAAAATATTTTTGCTAATGCAAAATTATAAAAAGGCATGTGTAAAAACATAGACAATACCTTCAGCGTTTTAATTGCCACTTTCGTTGCTAGATGCTCAGGAAGCTTCATTTCCCCTTTGTAAACATCACCAAACTGCCCTGGAAAACGTTAAATAGACATAACGCAAGTATTGATTGTTTGTCTACCAATGTTGAATCGACAATCTTGCTTTGTGACGGCCCTATATTAGTTCATCTACGGTCCTAAATAATGATGATCATAAATTGTTGGCGACTTCACCGATATTTAGTACCTCCACCAATAATGGTTTCAAATTTAATCGAATTCCGGTCCAGTTCTTTTGCAAGCTCCGACAGTGCTCTCTCAGGATCGGTATATGTCGTTGGATCAACATAATGTAGAGAGATATCTAAATAATATTGCAATAAATTGAGCTTGTTTACAGACTACGTATTTTACAACAAAGCTGTTCCTAATTATATATATCCATGCAATTGCACAGTTATAATTTTGCTTGGAAGATGTCAAGGAAATGCTGCGAATTTTGTTTTGCTCGCATGATAATACTGGATACCCGATAAAGTATATGAATCAAAATTAATTTAATCCTTGATACGACTGGATCAAAATTAATTCACTTCACAAATCTTACTTTAAGTAGTAGACTTATTCGTATGAGATGTCATATCAAATCCTACAATTTGGACTTTACTGGGTATCCAATTCTTGCAATTAGTTCAGCCCTCGGCTTCACCTTTGACTGAACTAATATCGCGGACTGCATGCTATCCAACAAGTCTTCATAATCGGATTTCAGACACTGCGTCACACACATAGATGAATTTCCAACAATTTTGATGCAAGAAATTTTCATAGTAACATACATGCATGCATGGCTGGGCGGTGACTATAAAAGGCGGAATGGCGTGCGGAATGAAAAATCACATCAAGTACAGTGTAAATAAACCGCTTTTTCTGATAACGCGGGCTCCATAAAAAATCTCGTGGTTTCGTGCCATTCGCACCGAGGTCATTCGTGTTAACACCTACCATCGTCGGTTGTGAGTTCCGGCAATGGGCTTTTCTTTTTATTTCGCTTTCTGAAATATGAAATAATTACCGTTTTAAAGAAGATTCATCTATTTGGTCACATTTATGAGACCTATTTACCTCAGGAAGAAAGCAATTAAGAAGACAACGAGAAGAAGAGTTAAACAAGCCACACAAACAATTACAACCAAATAAGTAAGGCTAGCTTCTCCTTTGGATTTTTTCATATTTTCTGAAATTAAAAAATGTTAAATTTATTATGATCATAAAATTACGAGTCGACTCTGGGGTGGTAACTCGCTTAAACTTGCCGAGGGATAGTGCGACTGTGCGAGTTTGGGCAATTGAAGGCGAGATCCAAACAAACCATTAGAATTTGTTACCATTTATATCTTACG